GAAACTTTTTAATGGGCCGGATCCATTACGAACACGATGATCTGAAAGACACCCGAATCCTCAGATCACTACGTTTAATTATCTTCAAAACCTTAATTAATTTGTTTTTGTACTGATCTAATGGTTCTCATCTCTTCGAACGCCGCGTGTCTCTAGTGGACCCGATCCATCTTTATCTTTAGCCCATTATCTTCGGTTCATCGCAGTGCTTGATAGGTTTAGGTCCGTGTAGAGTTGGTCGTTGTAAATAATCGAATGTCTTTATATATATATCGGGTTTTTTCTATAGAGTGTCCATGGGTACTCTATAAGAAATGAGAGAGATAGAGAGAAATGAATTATGCACGGAAATTAATATATCCGTTCCGTTGAACTTGATCTGCACATTCTTTTTTTTTAGCAGAAAAAACAGGGTTAGAAGCCATGCTCATATGAGGATTTTATTAATAACAACAAACGTCACAACTAGATGAAGAGCCACGTAGGGTGAAGCAGGTAAGGAGTGGACCTATGTCGTCACCTACCAAACTGGACCCTCAGCGGAACTTCATCTAGATGGCACATAATACATACTTACATACTAGAGTTCGCTAAACACATACATGGAAATATAACAACTTAGATTAGGGGACAAAACATCAACAGATAACCGTCAAAAGGTAATGTGTCTTCACCAGCAAAAAAAGTGAAAGAGAAAGATTAGAGGGCATGGGGGAAACTATCCCCAGAGGCATCAGCACTCTTGTTTGCAAGCTCCTGAAGTCCAGTGTTTAGGGCAGCCATGCGAAGTCTCCTTTCCAGCCTCTCATCCGCAGCACCTGCCCAGAATATGGAATATCTCCCTATGTTAGAAGCAGTAAGAAGAGGATCAGGTTGTTCATCCTTGAAAATGAGAGCATTTCTACTAAACCAAATCCACCAGCAAGTGCAGGGCAACAATATCTTCCAAATGATTTTAGCATCCTTGCTAAGAATGGTGGATTTATGAAAAAATATCAAATCCTCAACCGTCTGAGGCCAACTGTTTGTGGGAATAAAGGGGAAGATGTATGACCAGATAGCTCGTGCAAATGGGCACTTGGTAAACAGATGATCGTGAGTTTCAACACCAGAAAAACAAAAGGAGCATCTTGGATCACCTGTCCAGCCCTTGATAATCAAATTTTCCTTCGTGTTTAGCTTCTTATTTGTGATGATCCAGAACAGCACTTTTACCTTATTAGGGATGGAAGATCTCCAAATCATGCTATAAAACTTAGATTTAATACCTCCTGAGATGACATGGGAGTAGTATGATTTAACAGAGTAAATCCCCGATGGAAGAAGGGTCCACAAAAGCTCGTCTGGAGTAGAAGAAATATTGATATTTGAAGAAGTTAAATGAGTGAGGAGAAGGTTTTGATCAGACCTTTCTGAAGGAGATATACCTCTTCTGATGAGGGGATGCCAGTTCCATGAATGATTAATCATTCTGCCCTGAGATCTGATACTGCAGGACTAAGATAGGGCTAACTGGAAAGCTTTTGGAAATAAGCTGCTGAGGGAGTTTATCCCAGACCATTTGTCGTATCAAAAACTTCCAGTTTTGCCATCTCCAGTTCTCCATTTAACCAAGCTGAAAAAAGTGGAGCTAATGGAGGATAAGTCTAGAATGAACCTTGATGCCGAGCACTTTGGGGGATGAGCGAAAGGATTTGAACCATCTTTGGAGTAGACAGAGAAAACAACTTTACTAATGAGGGACTCTCTTTCAAAGAGTCTCCACAGCCATTTAGATAGGAGGGCTTCGTTGAAAGTTTCGATGTCAAGGACCCCCAAGCCTCCTTCAGCTTTAGACTTGCAAACTTTCCTCCAACTAATTAAGCATTTAATACTCGAGTGAGAGAGGCTACCATTCCATAGAAAGTTTCTTCTGATTTTATCTATGGCCTTTATAAGCCACTACGGCAGCTTAAAAAAAGACATGTAGTAAAGAGGAAGAGAAGATAGGACTGAATTTAGGAGAGTTAACCTTTCACCAATTGAAAGAGATTTGTTTTTCCATAGCGAAAGCTTATTGTTGAAGGATTCTAGAAGAGGTTGCCACTCTCTTTTGGAGAGAGATCCTCTTTTGAGAGGGAGACCCAGATATGAGAACGGGAGAGTGCCAACAGAGCATTTGAGGATGTCAGCTAGCATTTTGCCTTTAAGAGGAATTTTACCAAGGTAAAAAATGTTTGATTTGAGGGGGTTAACACACAGGCCAGAAATGTTAGCGAAGATAGAGAGAATGGTTTTAAGTGTAACCATGTCAGAGGGGGTAGCCCTAGAGAATATAATGGTATCATCCGCAAACTGGATAGACCTGATATTATTTAGCTGCCCTTTCAGATTTAGTTCAGATAAGCAATTTGCTGAGAACATCAGCCACCAGCAAGAATAGAGTGGGGATAGAGGATCGCCTTGTTTGAGGCACCTAAAGCATCGGAAGAATTTGGTTGGGGAGCCATTTACTAGAACAACAGATTTAGAGGAGGATAGGATGGAGTGGATCCAAAAGCACCACTTGGGACCAAAACCTCTGGCTTTTAAAAGAGACTGAAGGAAGGACCAATTGACACAATCAAAATCCTTGTAGAAATCGACCTTAAAGGCACAAATCTCCTTTTTCCCGGAGGAGCAGAAATTAATCATCTCGTGGCCAAGAAGAAAGGAGTCTAAAGATGATTTGCCAGATTGAAAGGCTGATTGGGAATTGTCAATGAGGAGGTGAAGAACTTTTCTAAGTCTATTTGCCAGAATCTTAGAGAAAATCTTACAAGAACTGTTAATGAGACTAATAGGCCGAAAGTCCTTAGGTGAGAGGGCACTCTCCTTCTTGGGGATAAGGCAAATATGTGAGAAGTTTATATTGTGTAACAGATGAGGATGGGAGTATAATCCTTGAATAAAATCAATTACATCCGCTTGAACGATGTGCTAAAAATTCTGGAAGAAGAGAATGGGGAATCCATCAGGCCCCGGGGATTTATCAGGGTGAAGACCAAAAACTGCCTCTGAGATTTCTTGAGGGGTGAAGGGAAGGTCTAAAGAAGAGAGATCAAACACATCAATTTTAGGGTGAACTTGTCGTGTTTTGACCCTTCGTTGAGCCGTGTAAAAAGTTCTATTCATTCGAAACCGTTAAATTTACGACGAGTGGATGAAAGGTCAAAACATGATGGATTCACCTTAAAATTGGTGTGTTTAGGTTTAAGAACGTGTAGATCAAGTTCAACGGAGCGGATCGCAAAAAAAAAGGGAATGATGTGATTTTAGGAGAAGCTTTGGGCGTGTGTCAATGAGAGTAACATAAATTATTACCTCTTTTGAGTAATTCCGTAGATGTTGTTGGCATGACAATTTTCATGAATTAATTTGGTAGGACTTCCCCCTTGTTAATTTCGTACTCTCGCTCTTCAATTTGTACGTGATGGCTTCTTTACATCTCATTCAATTTTCAAGTTTTAACTATGGTTAATTTGGTAAATGTCTTCTTCATTCATTCCTCTCCTAGTGAAATACGTTCAAGTTAAGTATTATGTATGATCGAGGAGGGGAATTACGCGTGCAGTAAATTTTGCAATGAAGTTTTTTTGGTGAACCTACACGTACGGCTTTCATATTATTGAATACTTGATACTCATGTAATAAAGTTTTGTAGGTGTTCAATAAGTACCCTTGTATATATTTTATGAATTGATCACTGTTTCTACATTTCTACCATATTATACACGTACAAGTTTTTCCAATCGCCACGTTCTATTTCTCTCTAATGTATTGGCTATTTTCTTGCATTAATCTACTCTTTTTGTTGAAATTAAAGCTAACATAAATGACCTTGAATTACGTGTTTATACAAACAAAATTATAAAAATTATATAAGTCACAATATCTAAGGAGATAAACAAGATGAGGGTTATTACGCATGTTTCCCATTCATTTGGTCTTCCAAAAAGTCAACCAACCTCAGAGAGAAAATAAGGAAAGCAATAACCTTTTGTAACTGACAAAATTTTGAAGTTTTTGTCGGCATTTTTCTTATTTGGAAATACAAATTGCAACCTTTTTATCCTAAACGGAAAACAAACTCCCATATCAATATCAACTAGAGAAAAAAGCCTTTCAGCTTTTCGTCAGCAACCACTACATTAAATGTCAAAAATCAAGAGGGTTAAAAAAAAAAAAAACTCTTTATCCTAAAATTAAATGTAAAAGTTTCACTAGTGAATAACTCACAAAACCACATCATTTTCCTATTCTAACATCAAGCTTGCATGGTGAAGGAGGGAGTTTCTCTGGATACATCTTGGTAACTTCTCTACATGAGTTTGGTACGTAGCCAAAAATCACTTTCACCATATACTACCCCATCTTGTTAAAGTTGAAAAATATATATATATATATATATAAATAAATACAAAACACCTCTCTTTCTCTCTCTAAACTTATCCTTCTCTCTCTCTCTCTCTAGTGCAATAACACCACCCTCTCTCAATAAATGCAATAGCACCCTCTCAATACTCTCTGCAATAACTCCTCCTTTGCTACATCCCCTCCACCTGTTAGACTCCTTTGTTTCTTCTCCTTTTCCTTCTTCCTCCTCCTCCTCCTCCTCCTCCTCCTTTCTCTCTCCCATGGCTCTTTTCAAGCTCTTCTCTCTCTTAGAACCTCCATTCTTCTCCTAGTTTCAAGCACTCTTGAATACCCACATCTTATTCAACTCTCTCTCTCTCTCTCTCTCTCTCTATTTCTTGAGGTACACATACAGCTCATATACTTAAGATAGAGAGAAAGAGAGATCAAAACTAGGGTCCCTTGTCCTAGATCTACACCCTATATTCTTGACACACTTTTTTGTTTTCCAACAAAAGATCGACCTTCTATTATATATATATATTATATATATATATATCCACACAAACTTCTTAATATATCAAAAGTAGTTATAAGCTCTAGTCCCCTTTGAAACGAGTGTTGGTTGATTCCTTGAAGCAAAGAGATCGATTAGAATTGTAGAGAGGAGAGAAAAGTGGAGGGGGGGAGGAATTAGGGTTTGCGGGGGGGAGAAGCAGCATGCCTGCAGGGATCATGCTTCCGGCAAGGCATGTCCCGTCGATGATCGGCCACAGCTCTGCCGGCTCCGCACCGCCTTCGGGTCATCATCGGCCCTGACACTTGGCCAGGTCACCACTAGCTTTATTAAATTTAATTAATTTATCCCTCTTTCTTCAATTTTTTTAAAAAAAAAAATTCTATACAGGGGGGATAAAATGAAGACTGGGTTTTGCATGAACTGAACTTTTGTGGGCTCCTTGCAGTAGTCTGTTTCTTTCTCTCTCTACTCTCTCTCTCTCTATCTATCTATATATATATAAATATATATATATATATATATTATTTTGTTGGATAATTTGGTATTAGCTCTAAAATTTGAAGGGGCGTTTGAGCCATTTGAGGCTAAATCCTCCTCGGTTTCTGAGAACCGCGTGAGAACTCAAAAGGGTATCTCTTTTCTAGAGGGAGAGAGGGGAAAAACCTATCTCTCTTTCATTTTATTCATAGATCTCAAAAATTTTAAATAAAATCAAAATGGGTATATTTCTCTGTGAATCATGAACTCAAAAGGGTAGAGTACTGTTTCCCCCAGAAAAAGGTCCTCTCTCTAGGGGGCAAAAAATCTCTACCTAACTGGTCATTTTGTTGATAGATCCCAAATTTCTTGGATAAAATCAAAATGGGTGTTTCTCTATGAATCATGAACACTAAGGATCAAGCTAAATTTTTTGTTTAAATTGCAGCCAAACTTGTTAGAAGGGTCTCAGCAGCTCCCATTGCAGCATCAACACTCTAACTTGCTGGATATTGCTCAGATCACTGGAGAGAGTGAGATGGTGAGGGCTGCAAGAGAACAGGAGGATTTTGAGAGCAAATCGGGGAGCGAGAACATCGAGGGGGCTTCAGGGGATGATCAGGATCCTAACCAGAGGCCGAAGAAGAAGAGATATCATCGCCATACTCAACATCAGATTCAAGAGATGGAGGCGTAAGATTTTGCTACTAGTATCTCATAATCATATGTAAATTGTAATATCTCAAATTTTGACATGACTTTAATTAAGGAAGTGATTGATTGTTTTCTTTGATGTTTGCATAATGTTTTTGTTTAGGAAATTAGCTAGACTTAATTAAGTAACATAAACCCATCTTTAAATATGCAATATTGTCTCATTGTTCTTCATTTTGGTTTAACTTTTTTGTTGTCAATATAAATATATGAAGCTTTCAGAAGAGAACTTGCGAAAGTTTTAGGGTTTTTCCCTTTCCCAATTTTAATTTATTTTCAAACCTCAAAATTTCAAGCTAACACTTTAATTTCTACTTCATTTAAAGAGGAAAAGAAAGGAATGCAGTACCTCAATCTTATCCTTGTGCTAGGCACCCAAAATATTCCTTATATTTCTTGAGATGATAAACTTAAACTACCATGTTCTCTTTTAATTAATTTTTAGTTAAAATTTCACCTCGTGAAATGTTAAATGTTTATATTATTGTTTATTGTTTTAGGTTTAATGTTTATTTTATGCTCATTATAATTGTACTTTCATTTGTATAAAATTCACTATTCTTTAGGGAGAGAATATATTTGTGCATTTTTTTTTCCAGTTTAGTACTCTAGACCTTTCAATTCTCTTTCATCTAATTGTTGCCGGTCTATTAGGGAGAGGAAAATGCTATGATTTCGTCTACCTTAACTCTCAATATCTCATGCATTTTACTATTTTATTCTGCCTCTTTATTTTGTTGTTCGTTGAGATATCAAAAGGCAAAGTTAGAAAACCTATCAAACTTTCACTAATTTTCTCAGTTCATGTCAATTTAACCCATATATATCTTTATACTATCTAATCGTTTTCCCCCGTCGAAGTGTCTTATTAATTTACATTTATCCAATTTCCTCTTTCTGTTTGGTTTAATTTACTTATTAATATAAATATCTGATCTCAATTTGCACTTGGATTAAATTTTCATTTACTTCCCATCTATTTAATTTCCTTAATTAATTTCTTCTTTGCTCGATCAGTTTCTTCAAGGAGTGCCCTCACCCTGATGACAAGCAAAGAAAGGAGCTTAGCCGAGAGTTAGGGCTTGAGCCCCTACAAGTCAAATTCTGGTTCCAAAACAAGCGCACCCAAATGAAGGTCTCAACTCTTAACACTAATTAAAACAAACTTAGGGGGTTAATTACATTCCGGCAGCATGAGGCAGAGATGTATAATTACATATATAGATAATCTTGAAGTCTGTGTTAAGGTTATCTCATATGTAGTACCGGAAGGTAATTAATCATAAAATTAGCGCACCATATAAAAATGACTCCTCCCTTAATCTTTTTCTAATTAGTTTGAACAACATTTTTGCATTATATGCATAAGCTCATCCAATATTGATCGCTCTCATCTCTTTCTTATAATGTACGTACATATATATAGACTCAACATGAGAGGCATGAAAACACTCAGTTAAGAGCTGAGAATGAGAAGCTCAGAGCCGAGAACATGCGATACAAGGACGCCCTCACCAATGCTTCGTGCCCGAACTGCGGCGGCCCTGCTGCCCTCGGCGAGATGTCCTTCGACGAGCACCACCTTCGTCTCGAAAATGCCAGGCTCAGAGAAGAGGTACTCACTTTAATTTGATTTGATTAATTTCTTGGGAATTTGGATTTTTCTCATGTTTTTTCGGACAATTTAGGCGAAGACCATACTCGTGTGATAGTTTTCTCTAACAAAAAAAAAGTTTAGAATATATGGTTTTGTCAAATTTATCTTTTTTTTTAAACAAAAAGATCTTCTCTTCATTCTTGCAATCTGTTTTTGTAAAAGATCGACAGGATATCGGGAATCGCAGCAAAATACGTAGGAAAACCAATGGTATCCTACCCTCTCCTCTCCTCCCCAATGGCATCCCGCTCCTCCCTCGACCTCGGTGTCGGCTCAGGCTTCGCCCCGCCGCCCATCTCCGGCGACATTTTGATGGAGGAGCTTATAAGGATGGCCCAGGTTGGTGAGCCGTTGTGGACTCAAGACTTGGACAACAACATCGACGCTTTGAACGATGAGGAGTACTTTCGTAATTTCCCGCGCGGGATCGGGCCCAAACCGTTTGGGCTCGAGTCGGAGGCCTCGAGAGAGACCTCGGTTGTGATCATGAATCATGTTAATCTCGTGGAGATACTTATGGATGTGGTATGTTTATTTTAAGGCTAATTAGCACTTAATCAAATACTTAATGGAAAATTTTTCAAAACCGACCCATTTGTGAACTTAATCCCAAAAAACGACCTCATTCAAACAAAATTGTAAAAAGAGACCTGGTTTCAGCCTCAGCGCTGAAATCAGGTCGGTTTTTGGAAAAAAAATTCCGAAACTTCAGGGAGTTCAACTCCAGTGAAGTTTAGTAGATCTGCTAAACTTCACGGGAGTTTAACTCCCGTGAAGTTTGGCAGATCTACTAAACTTCACGGGAGTTGAACTCCCGTGAAGTTTCAGAATTTTTTTTCCAAAAACCGACCTGATTTCAGCGTTGAGGCTGAAACTAGGTCGGTTTTTGCAATTTTTTTTGAATTGGGACGTTTTTGAGAATAAAAGTCTAAATAGGTTGGTTTTGAAAATTTGTCCAATACTTAATACCTTATAGTTAGTTTCCTCAGATGTTTTTCGTAGCCATTATATACCCTAAATTTTTTAAAGTTTGCACTTAAACACATTATGTTGTGCAAATACGAGAATTTTGCTCCAAAGTTTTCCATAGGACACTCACAAGCAAATTTTAGAAATTTTAGCTCGCAATGATTGTTGAATTTATAAGTGTTAACCTTACAATTATTCTATTTTAAACATGCCTCAATTATGTTTTGAAGTGGAAGTATTGGGGGTCTAAAAGTAATTTCAACAAACTCTAAGGGCTAAAAGTTTATAAGATTAGCTTCCGAGTGTCACATAGGAATATTCAAGGCAAAATTCTCAAGTTTGCATAGTACGTAAAAGTTATTGAAATGCAACTTTTAAAAGTTTTCAGTGTATATATATTACTGCTGCCAACAAAAAGTGAGAGGATATACAAGTGTTGAGTAGAAAAAAACTATAAGGTATTTAATTGCTATTTAGCCAAAAAGTTTGATTTTTTTATATTTTATGTTGTTACTGTAAATAATTTGTGTGATGTATGTAATTTTGTAGAATCAATGGTCCACGGTGTTCTCTGGGATAGTGTCAAGAGCTATAACTTTGGAAGTGCTATCAACTGGAGTTGCAGGGAACTGCAATGGAGCTTTGCAAGTGGTATATTTTTTTTATGCATTTTAATATGCAAAGAAGGATCAAATGTTAATTAATATAAACTGTATTTCTGTATATCATATATAGAAAATAAATACATGGCATTAGAAAATTAAATAATGGTTCAATCTGTACTAATTTAAATCTGTGAACGTATAGTTAGCTAGACTGACGTTTCCTTCATTAACCAATGGCTAATATCATATCCAGTCACACTATTTCTAGACATTATTTTATTATGCAAGTTTTATATAATCTTTTTTTTAACATGCATAATACATTAGTAATTAGTAGTTTACGTTTAGGGGTATGTAAACTCTCTAACATATGCATAATATATCTATATGTAAATCAACAAGGACAATTATGTTCGAGAAAATATCATGCAGCTATGTCTCTGGGCATGCTGAGTATATTATTATCTAAGAAACCTTATCTACTAAGTAAATACTAAATTAGAGAACCACAGGTGACCCGGATGGTTGGGAGGTTCCAATACGGCTCCCAAGCTCTTGGGTTCGATTCTCATATAAAATAAAATTTCATAAAACTAAAATATATTTAAATAAATAAATTAGGATATTTCCAAATAAAATTATTGACAAAAGGAAAAGGCATTACATAAATTTTCTATGAGGTAAAAGGAAAAGACGGAGAAGCACTTCATCCTCATGCAGAATTACATGAACACCACATTCTTCAAGATGGTCTTAACTATACCATTATTTAATAATGAATGAAATTAAAAAAAAAAACAATATAGTTTATTGGTACACATTATATTTTCCAAGATGTTAGATAAAACTAACCAAAAGTTGTGTGCTACTTAGAAGAAAACTGACGACTACACACATTCTATCGATTTTTTAAACTGATTCCCATCTAGATTTATGCAGTCATGTTGCCTTTCACTTGTCTTCACGACATAAGTTGGCTATATGATAATAATTCAGAATCAATCTTAGCCCAAGACAAAGCAAATTTATATGTCTCGTAGTATCATAACCATTTTAAACCAACAAAATGATATATCAACCATTCAATTTCTATATGTTTTTGTATAATGTCTGTCATGCACTTGTAACTTCCTTCAACACTTTGTAATCCTCGATATCAATAAAAATCATCCATTAAACTTGTAGTTACATGTTTTTCAGCACATAAAATGAACTTATAAAAAGCTCGAATATAAAGTTTACAATTCTTTCAAGACCTCCCGTCTTTGAGGAGAAAGTTTTTCAACATTTATTTCTCTCGATATTGAAATTCTCCTTCTCCAGGTTCTCACTAAAAACTAAAAACTACATGAATTTTCAGATGTCTGCAGAATTCCAAGTTCCATCTCCACTTGTTCCTACCCGAGAAAGTCTCTTCGTAAGATACTGCAAACAACACGGCGATGGTACTTGGGTAGTTGTTGATGTCTCCTTGGATAGTCTTCGCCCTAGCCCTGTGTTGAGATGTCGAAGAAGGCCATCTGGTTGTCTCATACAAGAAATGCCGAATGGCTACTCTAAGGTAAATCTGCTACATATCACATGATAAAGAAAAGATTGTATTTGTCAGTAGAATAACATTTTATAGTAATCTCTTAATATCCATCTCAGAAAGTGCGCTATATAATCATCTCAAAGATAGCAACTACATATTTGATCTTAGAGTAGCTCGTCATGTTTCTTTGGTGACTAAATTGCTGTTCTCATTGAGGACGTACTGAGCTATTATTCATGTCACCAAATATTAGCCTTATCCTATTAATGTGTTGCATGTAGTTGTGTGTTTGACCTCAGTCGTAGTTGACCGTGTAAGTTTTTATTTATTTATTAGGTTTCAGTTTTTGAGGACATAATGTGTACTTAAACTTTGAGTGCGCATGAATATATATAGGTAACTTGGGTGGAGCACGTTGAAGTTGATGATAGATCTGTGCACAACATATACAAACCCTTAGTGAACTCAGGCTTAGCATTTGGTGCAAAAAGATGGGTTTCTACTCTAGATCGCCAATGTGAGCGCCTTGCAAGCGTCATGGCCAGCAACATCCCCAATGGAGACGGCGGTGGTAAAATCCAAACCTTCACTTTCTCCATATTCTTCCAATAAAACCACAATTCACGCCAAATTGCAATAATTTGCAGTGATACAAACAGCTGAAGGGAAAAAGAGCATGTTGAAATTAGCCGAAAGAATGGTTATAAGCTTTTGTGGTGGCGTGAGTGCATCTACTACTCACCAGTGGACCACACTGTCTGGAAGTGGAGCTGAAGATGTTAGGGTTATGACTAGGAAAAGTATCGATGATCCTGGTAGGCCTCCTGGTATTGTTCTGAACGCAGCTACTTCGTTCTGGCTCCCTGTTCCTCCGAAAAGGGTTTTTGATTTTCTCCGTGATGAGAGTTCTCGCAGTGAGGTATTCACATTTAACATAATTTTGATGTGTTTCCCTACTAATTTTCTATATTTTCCATCTTTACAAGATTCATTAAGGTATATCTTTATTTCTATTTTAATTAGTTATGGATGATCATTTTGTATAGGAGTGTTAATTAACTTGTTAATATTATGTATACCATGGTGTTTAACAGTGGGATATCCTGTCTAATGGTGGTGTTGTTCAAGAGATGGCTCATATAGCTAATGGCCGTGATCATGGTAACTGTGTTTCTCTTCTTCGAGTCAATGTAAGTTTCATCAACTTCAATGTCTCTAATAGAAAGATGATCTTTAGAAGTTTATTGTAAATACATTAATACAATTTACTTCTCCTGCATTAGAATGACTTATGAGTATTTGATCTCATTTATTTGCAAATACAAATCCACAGGCTTGATTACCTTACTTTTTTGTCCTAACTTTTGTCATATTATTTGAGTACAGGACTCATAAACCTAAAAATTTGCACCCCTCTACAAATTGTTACTCCTTCCCTTTTTAATTAATTTGATATGAGAAGAACTAAGCATACCACTGTATGATTAAGCATGATAATACATCAGCACATTTTTATGCCAAACAAATTTAACACCTTTTCTTGTAAAATATCTGAGGATTTTAGTGGTGCTTAACACGCTAAAAAAATGACCCTAGACACGTACCTATGCTAATATAAACTTAAAATCAAATTAAAATCTCTATCCTAAACCCTTTTAAATGATTTAATTACAGAGCCCAAACTCAAACCAGAGCAACATGCTGATCCTGCAAGAAAGCTGCACTGACTCAACTGGCTCCTACGTAATCTACGCCCCTGTAGATGTCGTTGCCATGAATGTAGTCCTCAATGGTGGTGATCCTGACTATGTGGCCCTCCTACCCTCAGGTTTCGCCATCCTGCCTGATGGGCCCACCGGCAGTGTGCCCGGTGGCGGTCCAATAAGCGAGGTTGGGTCTGGTGGGTCCCTTCTAACCGTTGCGTTCCAAATCTTGGTTGATTCCATCCCTACTGCAAAGTTGTCGTTAGGTTCAGTTGCAACAGTTAATAGTTTAATTGCTTGCACGGTGGAGAGGATCAAGACTGCAGTCTCTGGTGAGGCTGCACAATGAGCCTAAGTGAATGGTAAGAACTAGTCACTTTGAAATCATAATTTCTATTGATATTTTCTTACCGATAATATTTTTAGGCTTTATTGTTTCTTCTGGTATGTTTATAAGTCAAATTTCGATGAGAATTTGCATGAATAGTGCATTAGACGAGCCTTGATCTTACATATATAGGAGCCTCTGAAGTTGTATGGATTGAGATTTGAGGGCAGATTTTGGTAAATTAGGATTGTTTTCTTGACACAAGGTAGCTGAGCAATTTAGTACTTCTGTCTGAAACTTGTTGCATTACACATGTTAAGAGCTTTATTGTGTGCCTCCTTATTCTTTGGTTTTCTTAATAAACATAGTTTGATGCCCTTAGTTTGATTAACTCTATTCTGTCACCCTGAAAACATTCAACTATAGTACGATATATGAACTTTTTCTCTCTCCATTCATTTTATCAAAGGAATTATCAAACTAAAAGATATATCAATCTACTAATGTTTTTTTCTGATAACTATAACTATGGCACTAACTGTTTTGGTTCGCAGGATAAAGGGAGAGGGAGAGCTTGAAGATTTTCTTTCGTGTTATGTGAGAAGTCAAGAACGCACCTCAGATTCTCCTTGCAATGTGTTGTGCTTCGTTTTTTTTCGAAGAAAAAGAAAACTCGAAAGTTCAGATTTACAAGGCACACCACCATGCAAGGGTGTTGGTTCGGGTATTGACTTCCCCTATTCTCTCATCATAATCATCATCATCATCATCATCATCATCTCTCTAAAAAGTTTCTCCCTCTCTCTCAAGTGACATTTGCACCCTTTCTAATATAAGGAATTTCAATTAGTTAGACTATGTTAATATGGCCTGTGATGGCCCAAATTGTTGTTTCTCTTCGTTGATTGGTTGCTTGGAATTCAAGTTTTGGTTGGAGTTTCTTGTTGTTATGAACTTCTTTGATGCAATTTAGGTTGCGATGGCTTTCAGTTTCTTTGTTGTAAGTTGTCCAAAAATTGGTGTTTAGGGAATCAAATGTGTAATGCAAAAGTGCAAGCTAAAGGACCACTATGTGATTGTACCTCTTTGCTACAATATTAATGTTAGTTTTCCTTATTTGCTTGACTATTAAGTGAAAAGGTAATGCTAAAATCTTGTACTATTTTGATATTATATTTTACTGAGAGAAACGTCACTAATGAAAACATCAAACTTAGACTTCCATTAGAAACAAAGTTTTTAATTTGATGGTAGGGAGAATTTAATAGGCTTTGGATACTTTAGCTTCCCAATGAAACTTCACAAGTTCATGAGTTACTGAGACCTTCAATATTCTGGCTAGCATATTTAATGAGAATTAAGAGGGCTAATAACTTTGTGGCAGTTTCTGGTACACAAAAGGCAGTAAGACTTAATGCAAACTCAACTGTTTTGAATCAGGAATTTTGGAGCACAGACTTCAAAGGGTTGGAAACATTGCCTCATTGATGATGAAGAAGAAAAATATTGTTGAAAATAGAGGTAAAAGGAAAGAACTGAGTGTGTTATATAACAAGGATAAATTCTAGCAAAATTATCACAACCATTTTTATTACAGAAAAAGTGACGGATGCTGTGAATGATTTGGATAATTCTACCCTTATAGCAACAGTTTTCTGTACTCGGTCCAGGGTATTTTCGTGCAGTTTTGAAGCCCACAGTTGTTTTCTCCAATAAAAAGTTTAAGGTTGTTTTTTTGCAAACACGCCAAAGTTCACGGTACTTTTGTAAAAATAATCCTATAAACAAACAAACAGCATTCAATGTCAAGCCTGTGTTCGTCTTCCAAAATTGAATTGAAGAGGTCAGGTCAGTCTCTCTCCCTTGTTGGACCAGGATAGAAGTTAAAATGGTCCAGCTGACCATTGAAGAAATAAATGTGCCTGTCAAAATCTGAGGCAGACTACAGCAGGAACAGTAGTTGACCTAAGTCACAGTATAATAAATTGCATGGCAGCCAATTCCACAAGAAAGAACCAACAAGCAAGGAGTCAGCTTTGACATGAAGAAGCTAGTATAAGTTCAATGGAGATGTCATATCTCTATTTATGATATTATTAATAAGTTTGAACTTGATTGGGGCTAGTGTTGTCAATGCGCACAGCGCAATGCGGGGCGCAAAGCATCTTTACGCGCACATGCGCAAGGCGCAACGCGATACGCGCGCCCGAGTGATGCGAGGCGCACACCGCACACATAATTTTTCAATATATGTAATCAAACGCGAAAGAACATGTTTTTAGAACTTACTTGAAAAATATCATGATAAATAATATCTTACTACAAAATCACAATATAATGCCTTAATTTCTAATGCTAACACCCAACATAGTAGCAAAATTCATAAATTTTTAAATCAAATGTTAAATCAAGATTAATATACAAGCAAAGGATTAGTAATTGTCCTCAATTGAAGGCTATTAAAAAGGTCTAATGGATTTATTTTGCTTTTTGGGATATGGAATATCAAGTATAAAGACTCGATTGAAATGTTAACAAATAAAACTATATAAAACTATATGAGGATATGTACTATATGCACCCTACACAAAGTAAGGATGTACGCGAGGCGCAAAGGCGCTGCTGCATCAGATGTGGGGCGCTTCGTCACCGTCCCGCATCATAAGGCGCATGAGGCGCGCGCCTTTGAAAACACTGATTGGGGCAGGCATATGTCATGTCCAAAACATGTAGGCACAAACTGTTTTAGTTTTGAGATCTTGTTCAGTTTGTTTGAGAAACTATTCTAGCTTAGGGTAAGGCTACCTATCAATTCTGCATATTTGCTTAACAAAATTTAGCAAATAAACCATTTATGAAAGAGAACCATTTTAAAACATGATATGCTTTTTGTTACATTGATACAAAAAGGATTGCATAGAAATCAATGGAGCAAAGTTAGTTGAATGCATATAACTCCTATCATCTATACCTCCAGCAGCATTTATAGCTTCTCAACTCAATTGTTAGCACTTCTCATTCCTCATGCATTTCATCCTTCTCAAAAAATGACACTCTCAATGGTAATAAGTGCTACTGAGTTTATAACTAAGGGGAATTATCTGAAATTGGCCCAAAAAATATATCTAAATTGCACAAGAGAGAGGATTGGATTATGACATAAATGAATGCAGATGAACATATGACAACCAAATTCATTGTGTATTAGAGGAAAACAAGAAAGAAGCAAAGATGTTTTCCTCAACATAGAGCCCCAAGCATTTCTTCATGTAGTGTTTAAATATCCTACATTGTAAAAACCTACCAGTAAGCCGAACGTATTCTTCTAACTATTTGGCATCCACCAATAACGGCATATGTGAAACAAATTATCAATCAAAACTATCCATCTTATTATTAGAAAATGTTATATGTCAAACATTCCCAAAAGGTTGCGTTCATGCAAAACAATAAACTGACACAATAAAGATGGGCCTAAAAAGTGACACGAAAAGGTACAATAACTATCCATCTTTATCTCCTATTTCCTAAACGCTATCATAAACCAGCTCCGAAACCTCAAACCCTAAGTTCTTTCTAACAACTATGACGAGGCTTCATGGTAGTCAATCTTTAAAATTTATAGTTGCGAACAACCCTCTGCTACTAAGACCAAATTTTCCTTCACTATACATCTCCTAAGCATATCACAATAGCTCCACCATAGCCTGAAGTGGGCTTCAATAACATTTCCAGGGTATATTGCAATCTGCCGCATTAAATTCTCCTACAGATCTTCAAAGTTGAGACTTGAGAAAAATCCCCTCTGCCAAATCACATTATAATTTGAATCAACATATCTTTGATATGAATAATGATTACTGAAATGCAACCCAAAAAATTCGATCATATCATCCCTTAGAGGAGGCTACCACGATAGGTCACAAGTTCTATGAATTTTTTCAAGGATATCATGCTGTACTGGTGGATTCAGTCATGTAAAATCTACATACCCTCAGCATAGATCCAGTCTCTGTAGGCCCAAATGATCTAATTTTTGATTCACACACTAAAACCAACAATTGATTTATTAAGTCCCAACTTCAGAAACTTTTTTTAATAACTTTAATGACTCTTTCTAAACAATAATAGAAACAAAAATTGTCGTCTGCATCTCAAATACTAATATGTAGTTTTCTTAATGATCCAAGTGACAACAAAAATCATCTGTCATGCAATGATATAATCTGGTAAGTAAACATTTCTTGGAAGTTTGATCCAATTTCAATCAATCCAAATCTATCAATTGTTTTTCTTCTAAAGTAATCATTCAACTTTATTTTAACAGAATATGTATGATTAATAGCAGGTGTATTTCATTCAGATGAGAAAATAATGTAAAAACTTCTCATCCACAATCAGAGCTTTCAAGACCTACAGTTAAATGGACCAAGTATGTCAAAAAGAAAAAGTATTATCACATAGATTCTCAAACATTGCCATATTTTATAAACAACATATGTGTCATTAAAATGCTGCAAATAAAGAAATGATACATTTCAGACACCATAACAATTCCCATTTTAAAAACCAAACGTCTATTGTAACGTCTATTGTACGAGTAACACTCACCTCATCTGATCAGATCAACCATGGTTTTCCTTCTTGGGAACCTCTGCGGCAGCCTAAGCGACATTGCATCCTCAATCTCAATCGGCAAGTGTGTCGCCACAATAACAATCCCACCCTTCTTCCTATGCTCCGCTATGATATATTCCAACAACCGTACCCCTTCTGCATCCAAAGCCACCGACGGCTCATCAAGCAACCAAATCGGCCGATCAAGAGCAATCACCCTTGCCAACTGCAACCTCTTCCTCTGCCCCATGGAGAGCATCCTTGCCTTGTCATTTACGAGCCTGCCAAGACCCATAAGCTCGAGCGCCGGTTTCGCTCTCCCGCACTTGCCTTCAAGAACTTCGAACCATTGAACATTGTCCAAGACGGTTAATTTCTCTTTGACAGCATCCCTTAAGGAAAGCCAATTGATTTGGAGCTTGTATTGTTGGAAGACACCGGGAGAGGCGATGTTATTGCCATTCCATAGGATTTCTCCAGCAGAGGGACGGGAGAAGCCACCAAGCATTCGGAGGAAGGTGGTCTTGCCGGAGCCATTGGCGCCTGTGAGGACAAGAGCAGAGCCATCGTGGACAGAGACGTTGATGTCACGAAGGACGGTCTGGGCGTTTCGCATGCAGGAGGCATTGTTGACGAGGATGCGAGGGGGTGGAGGCTTGAACAGTGGCATTTAGTGGGAGGAAAATTTGAATATGACCACGAGGAAACCTACAACGTAGAATGACAATTGGAAAATTGTATCATTACTCCTATCCATATAAAATCAAATTTATTGATAGATAATTCGAAGGAGATGATGCGGAGAGAAACGGAACTAATATTAGAGCATCGCGGAATTTCAATGCAGATGGCTAATGAGAATACATGATTAATTGCATATGCACTTCTGTTACTATAGGGAGTTAGGCACTTATTATCTGTTGCATATGTGTAGGGGATGTACATTCACACACAAGAGAATGGGAGTCTCCCTGCAACACGCAGAAATATCAGGAAATCTCTCTGCAATGTGTTGACGCGCGTGATACTCAAGTTACGCGTATGGTTAAAATTTTTTTGGGCATCAGGGATCTAAGTGCTATAAAAAAAAGCGTATGGATAATCAAAGGTAAAAATCGTATATCTTAGGCAATTATCAGTAAACACACAGGCATAAATTGGGCATGAGGAGAATGAATCAGGGACAAACACAATCTTTGCCTTGCACATAAAAATTCGAGCAATTGGGTTTCAATTTACAAAAAAACAAATGTGAATTAAAGCTTCAATACGCCCCGCACTCGAAAAGAATTGCATTTGAGCTTGAATCAAGAACAATATTGAGTGAGGCATTTTATCAAACATGAAGAACAGCCTACGAGTACTACCAAAAAAATTCTACTTGAACTTGAGTAGTAATTAAAAATATATGAAATTTATTCCCCTGTTTTTTTCTCCTCTTTTCTTTGTTATGATTGAGCCAATGCTCTTATAGAAAAAAAATGCGGAATGATATATTAGATAAACTCAAGAAGAGAATTTTGGGTACCCAGATTTATAACTATTTGGCTGAGAATGGAAGTCGCCGTCGCCTGAAACTGAACGCCGTCGCCGCCGCCGTCGATGGGGGTTTTTTTAAGTGTGAGCGACGCTGCTTTTGGGGTTTTGAGTTTTCTTTTTCTATTTTGGGTTTTGCTCATATTAGACCCTAGATTGTTTATATTTTCACATTAAGCCCCCAGATATTGATATTTGTATTTCACATCCCACATCAGTTTGTGTTCGTGTATGTTACCGTGTCGTGCCCAAAACTTTAATATTTGTTGGTAAATTACCTTAATATCCTTATGCCACGCTTTGTGTTTCATCAGTAGTGAGTTTGATCATATTTAAGACGGGACAACAAGAAGATAAAAAAAGAGTGGGGGGGGGGGGGGGGGCGGGGGAATGAGAAGGAGAAAGGCATTTGCCAAGAAGCTTCAAAGTTGGTACATTGATCCAATGCTAACAATTCTCTCTTATTGAGTTTTCTTTCAACTGTGTAACAAAGCACAATCATCTAGCACAAGCATTCGCTCATACTGCAAAAGATTTCCCTCTGCTTATCGACAATTGGCAAAAATGGAACCTTCATCTCCTCCGATAACTAACATCGACATATAAAGTTTCGACATATAAAGTTTCGCTACGCGAAACCTTATGCTCATATACACAGATCATATACACAGAACATATAATCAGCAAAAGACACATCAAGTATCACGGTATGAAACCTTATGTTCACGTACACGGAACACACAAGCTACAAAATAAGACGTAGCAAAACAACGCCAAAAATATCCTAGAGCTTTACTCGATCTTTTGAAGTAGAACTTACGCTATAAATACAATCCTGATTTGATTGCTTACAATTCTGAGTATAGTGCCACCACACAACAGCTTCAGATCACCTTCTGATTCTATTTATAGGGAATTGGGGGGGGGGGGGGGAAGCAATATACCCCTTGGATGGAAATTGATTACAATTTCGGAATTTATCACCAAGCTTTTCAAACGGAAATAAATTCATCAACAGCTAGAAGCAAAGATTCGCTTATGTTAGCGTTCACCAATAATCTCAATAATGGATGGCGGCAAACTTTTGAAATTCAACCGAACTTTTCACCGAATTTCACTTCAATACACATGGAAGTTCCTGCTAAAAGTATCTCACTGATGGTTTGTGATGAAGATGCTTGGATATCTTCCATCTCGGCTCCAAATTTCACCTGACCTGAAATGTTACGGATGACACACGTATTATACGCTGTAGATTTCCACAAAAAAAAGGAGCCCAAAAACTGAACATGCAGGAGTGCTCATTAGAACATTAAGCTAATAAGTAACAAAAAATCAGACATACATGAGTATTCACTTCTGCCGCTAGAGATCTGTATTGCACCTACCCAGGCCTTCTTACATAAGGTGTCTGATCTTCCTGCACGTTTAGTTACCACAACCACATTGCCTTAAATCGATATGCTCGATAACAGCTATTCAAAGAGTTTACTCACAAGAAAACAAATCAAATTGCGTTGTGGGACTAAACACACTTCTATTCAAAGAGAGAGAGAGAGAGAGAGAGAGAGAGAGAGAGAGAGAGAGAGATAATCAGGTCCCATTTACAGGAAAGCAAATAGGCTACAGCTACGTAATCTTTTAATGTGGGACTAAACACACTTCTATTCGAGAGAGAGAGAGAGAGAGAGAGAGCGAGAGCGAGAGGGAGGGAGGGAGGGAGGGAGAGTTGATTGTGCTATGATTGAAAATCACAATCTCAGAGGGATAGTCGTTTTATTTACGAGGAAAAGCGAATAGAATAAACTGCGTATCTTTAAATGTGGGACCAAACACACTCCACCTACCCAAGTAAACATATTTGGTTGTGTTAGTGATGGAAATTGACACTTCTCTAGTTTTCCTAATATATTAATATTAACTATTCTAATATATTGGAAGAAAAGAGATTGGTGATACAAACAGGAAAGAAAGCAATTAAACAAGAACCTGTAGCATCTCTTGGTAGAACCATTGCATCCTTGACTGATTTCCAACAGGCTGTTGGCCAAACTGGAATTTTCATGCAAAATAAAGGGAAAACATGATATCTCAAATAATGCACAAAACAATTATAACACCTGGAGGTATTTGACAAACCTGTATTGTATTGCTAGGCTGAATCACTGATTGGTTACCAACATGATGTTGGGGATTAGGATGTACTCCAAACTGGTTGCCAAAGGATAATTCATTTGGATTTACTTCTTCCTATATTAGTATTAAAAAGGTTAAGAAAGTAAAAGCAGAGACTATGAGACATTGAAGGAAAAAATGTTTTTTTATTGGGAAGGTGTTGAACACTAAAATGATAGAGACCATCAAATCAACGCCTCCAGGCATCCTTATATGAGAACCAAGCTGTGAAATAGTTGATACAGTTTGAAGTGTATCGTTTTGGCTCCCAACCAACAATGATGTAGAAGTATCCTATATGGACAACATTTTGACCAGGGTGTTAAAAGAAAAAGAATGGTTAAATTCAAACCAGAAAAGACTATTGCAAATGAGTACCTTATTATTGACCGAAGTTGATAGGGTTTCTATGTTGGATTCTTTCAGTTTTTTGGGTGGCCGGCCTCTGCGCTTTGCTGGTACAGAAGGGGTCCTGCTACCCTCAAAGAAGCCCATTTGAGTTAACTCATCACTTCCATTGGACCTATCAGGTACTAGTAGCCTACTTTTGAGATCTCGGAATGTATTATCATCAAGAAGGGACATCTCCATTTCCTTTATTAATCTCAATGCTAATTGGAACTTCTCATCAGACATGGCACCAATCTCAACAAGCTGAAGATACCGAAGGGAGAGATTATCGTAGCGCTCTAGTATAGTATTACCTAAGACATCTTTTGCTCTATGAGCCAAGATATGCAACTGTTTGAAGTCTCTCCTCCAACGATCAAGAATGTATTGTGACGGCACTTCATACACTTGATTGAGCTTAAACACAGATAAGGCATGCCTACATAATATGCCTTTAAAATGGAAAAAGTTACAGTCGCATTGAATCTGGAATCCATCAATGTTATATACAACTTCATGACCCTTAGCCTCAATATTTTCTCCGTTTTCTATGTAGGCATGTTCTCTTACTTTAAAGACAGAGACAGAACCATCTATCTTGATAGGAGCAACATGACTGTATACAGTAGCCTTCAGCTCATCCTGAAACCTACTGAACATGTTAAGAGTATACAATTTGGATACCTGCTCTTCCATAGGAAACTTTGACACAGTAAATCGGCTCTTGTGAAGTGAGTCAAAATCTGCTTTTGCCTCCATTTCATACTTAGTTTGTAATATCATTTCATATCTACTAAGAAAATCCTTAACAGAGGTTTCTGGACAGACAATCTCTTCAAAGAATGAAGCTAGGGAGTCATTATGTTGGGAAACGGACATTCCTCCCCAAAATGTGTTTTTCAAAAAAACAGGGACCCATAGATGCCGAATGTCATATAGAGAATTAAACCATTCATTACCTTCAAGTCCATAACCATTTATCAGCTTTCCCCACTCTTCTTCGAACTCATCAACTGTGGAAGAGTCAAATATTAGTGTCTCAAGTGCCTTTATGACTTCCGACCCTTCTGCAAGTCCGCTTGATTTCTCCTGAATATCTTTCATCACATGCCATAGACATATACGATGTCTAGATCTTGGAAAAATCTCATTAATACCTTGAATAGTTTTACATTCATTGGTAATTATGGCATTTGGATGACTACCTAGCATACATGTCAACCATGTCTTCAGGATCCATGAATAATTCTCAGTTGATTCTTCACAAAGCAAGCCACAACCCAACAAGACCAGCTGACCATGATGGTTTACTCCAAAGAATAAAGCAAGCGGCATACCATATTTATCTTTTATACAGGAAGTATCAAATGATATTACATCGTTAAAGAACTTATATGCTGCCCTAGATCTGGCATCAGCCCAAAATACATTCTTCAAATGACCTTCAACATCCAGATCCAATAGGTAAAAGAAATTTGGATTCTTGGCCTGCATCTGTGCAAAAAACTGAAAGATGGCTTCTGCATCTCCTTCCCCAAGCTTGAGACGCCCTCCTTCAACATAATTTAAAATTTCTTTATCATCCGTTGATAAGTTTTCATGTCTCCGAGCTCGGACAACAAGATCTTTTGTCATTCCACCAGGTAGCCTTTTATAACATTTCAAGAACCTAGCTGCTGACGGACTAACTGGATGGTTGTGCTCAAGATTTACTTCCATCAAATGCAGTAAACCGTCACCCCATAACTTTGCTACAACTGTTGCAGGGCAGTCTGTCTTTGCTGTTGGTCTCGACTGGTAGCATTCATTAGCTCGGCCTTTGCCACCTCTTGTACAAACAAGTACCAACCTTCTACATAGGCCATATGTATTAAAAGATGATTTCTTCACAGCCACACCAAACCCTATTCGCAGTGCATATCGTTTATAGAAGTTGACAACTTCTTCATAGGATTTGAAGATCATCCCTGTCTGAGGTGTTCTACCATCACCTACGTTTTGTTTCACATCATTCTCGAGCTCAACCTTACCTTTTTGAACATCCCCATTATCACTGCCCTCCACTGCACTCACGTCTCTATCATCATTAACTAGTTCTTCACTGATGGAATCAACTGGGACGCTCTGAGAAAGGAAATTTTAAGCTGATAAAAAAGAGTTTGTGAACTTTGAAAGAAATGGGAACTGATACTTAATTAAAAGATACTTTAAAAATAGTTAAGGGCTAAATAATGCTTATGCTAATCTCACCTGTGATACCCCGTCATCTTCTATGGGTGGATTCAGCCCGTCCTCACTTGAGCATTCATCCATGCGAACATCATTCTTCATCGCAATAGATTCATTTTCCTCATCTAGTTTCTCTTCCATCGCAGAATTATCTACTATATCCTGTGACTGCAAAAACATAATAGCAGATAAGATTAGCATCAGGTAGCACTGGAGAATACCATAAGATGTGAATCTTGTTATAATCATTTTTAATGCTACTGCTTCAAATGTAACTGGGTGATTTTTGACGTGCCATAGTCAACCATCTCAAACACAATATTATTGATGTCATGAGATGGCTCCATCAGTTGTTGACATCAACCGAGGCTAGTATTCATGATTTCTTAAAAGGAGAGTATTTCAATATCATAAGCGCTCCTCGACAGCTCAAGTGAACTGAAGATAGCACCAGGATTTTAAGCCTATCAAATTTGTCTTTATCACTATCATCATCATGTTAGGTCCTTTTCATCAAACTTGAACATAACAAAAACTTGATGGAAATAACTTACAGTCATCTGCCATCCAAATGTCAAACCCTGCTTGATGCCTAATCATTGGCCATCAAAACTATAGCAAAGTCTTCTCTTTCACAACATAGAAAGCCAGTTGAAGATCAAATGTAACCATATCTACTAATCTTGTGTGGCAATCATAACCAATACGGGAATAACAATACTGCTTGTCGTTGATTTTTAGCATTTCAATGTCTAACTTTACCACCTTAACTTCCACCTTTTCATTACCAAGAAATTTATCCTTCTGCCCCCTCCATCCTAAATTTACACGGATCAACAGCATCCCAATCCCAATTACCATCACAAATCTTATGCATTTTCTCCAGAAAAGGGTGACAAGCCCTGAAATTAGTAATCAACCTATTCCAGCAAGCTGGCGTTTAATCCTCATTTTGAGGAAGAAACTTATACCTAAAAACTAATTAGCTGATATAGATGATTGACCGGTAAAGTCTCCATTTACTTATGCAGCGTTAATCATTAAATATCAATAAAGCTCCCTACAAAATGAGTAATAAACATTTGGTTGAGCTTCTTAACTAATAGATTCATATCCAAAGTATAACATAATAACAGTGATTTACAGTCAACCAAACATAACCAAGTCCATGTATTTTAATTATTTATTTTTTATTGGTTGTGATTTATGTGTCAATTTTCCATGCACATACATGTCTATTCTCAGTTAATCTAAGGTAAAATTCACCTCCCAAGTGAAAAAGAAACAAGTTTTTACCATCAACATTGAATTGAATAAGTAAGATTGCATGATTCCCGTAGAAAAGAATGCGAAAAATCACAAAATTTTGCAGAGAAATCAGACGTGAAAGCAATTAAGATAAAAAAAATTGAACCTCAGGACTCTGTAACTAAACTCAAGGCACAGCAAAGAGGAATAAACAGGATGCTGAGAAGCTAAAAAAAACAATTTCGATCATGAGCATTGATTTATAATAAGTAAAACTGCAAGATCCCGACTCAAAAATAGAAAAAAAAATCAACAAAAAATTCGTAAAAGCAATCAGTGATGACGGCAATTTAAGCTAACAAATGCGGAACATAATCAACTAAATCCCAGTAGCAGGAAGTAACCCATCGGCGAATTCACAAGAACCGAATTCAAGTAAATGGGGAATTGAAACCCTAGATTAGATTTTGGAGGGAAAAGAGAGAGTTGAGCTTACTTCTTTTTTTCTTCTTCTAGGGTTTTGATAGGGGAGGGGAGGATCGGCGAGGGTTTTAGGGCTGAAGATGGGACCGCGTGAGCCGCACCCGCTAATGGCACCCGCTCAGTCTCACAAGGTGGGGGGCAGGCGGCAGCTCTCTTTGGGTGGAGATTTTTTGGTGCAGCTATTTTAGGGTTTCCCATTTTCTTTTTAATTACATGATGATGAGGGAAAAATAAAAAAAAAGGTACAAAACGCTGCAAATATTTTTTTGCATAATAAAACAAAACAATTGCATATTCAAATTTCAAGTTTTTTCCCCGAACCCAAAGGTTTACCCCGATTTACTTTTATACCCACGGATTATTTGTGAACCTCAATGTGCAGTATGTATTAACATACACCAAAGCAACAACTTACATCCAGTGTGCATAGAATGGGTGGAATATATAGTTTTTTGGTGTATATTTTGGGTTGATAATGACTTCGAAAGTTGGTGGGTTTAAAGATAAACTAGAGTGGGTGTAGAAATAAACCTTGCCTTTTTTTACACTAGGCCCCAAATCTTTCATAAATTTGAAATTTGTCACCCAAATCTTTTAAAAAATGTTTTAAAAGTAGCCTTTGTAGTTAACAGCATGTGGCAAGATCTGGGGGACTATTGAAAATATTTAAAAGAGTTATGGGACTGATTTTAAAATATCGAGATGTGGGGGACTAATTTAAAATAACCTCAAACAATGATGACTAATTTCAAAATATGAAGATTGGGGGACCATATTAAAATATGAAAGATTTGGTGGACTAAGGGGGTGTTTGGTTCAATTTCTAAAAATTATAGGAAATGTTTTCCACCTAAAATATGATTTCCTTGTATTTCTTAAAAAAATTATAGGAAAAGTTTTGAGAAATCAAAAAGTACCAATTTTTTTGTTTTTTGTACTTTGCTTGTTTGGTTCAAAACAAGAAAACAGCTCATAACTTTATAGAAAATAACAAGATTTGGTAGGTTTTTAATTAAATATGGTATGTGTCAGATTTCTAGTGATTTTCTCTCATTTTGAGAGGAAATTGCTTTTTGTAAAATTTGGTAGGTTTTGATATTTTATAGAAAATATTTCTGTAAATTTTTTGTTGAACCAAACACAATTTACAGAAATCTCTGAAAAATTTTTAATTACAAATTTGCCATTGTCAGATGTTTTGAGAAAAGTTCTCTCAAAAAATGTGCAACCAAACAGCCCCTAATATCAAGAAACCTTGGAAACTCTTCCCTTCTTTTCTGTTACACTACAACTTTGTTTAAGGATTTTCATCTCTATGGAATTTTGATTTAGGGCCCATTTGACTGTACAAAAATATTAGAAGTAATAAATAGATTAAATAAGTAATTTTTAAAATTATAAAGTAGGAATTAGCAGAAGTAATTTTTCTATTTGTTTAAAAAAAATTTGGAAGTAATGTAAATAGTATTTCTTTCTCTTATTTTACTTTTTTGTTTGGATAGTCATTATAAAATGAGCTTTGCTACAGGGACCCAAAATATGGGACCAATAGAGGGGACAAGTGAGATGTCTCCCTCCTATTGGATAATGAGTTGGCCATCATTAATGATGACCAACTCATTATCCAATAGGTGGGAGACACCTCACTTGTCCCCTCTATTGGTTCCATATTTTGGGTCCTTGAGGAATTTTTCTTATAAAATATTATTATCAAGAGAGAAAGAGAATCTTTCGGATTTCGGTTTTTCAATGAGTGTTCATAGACACTTGTTAGGGGATGATAAAGATAGAGAGAAATGAATAGCAAATAGATAATCACACTAATTTCTTCCCTTGCCTCTCCTCTCTCTATCTCTCTCATCTTTTAATGAGTGTTCATGAGCACGCGTCATGTTTCGACTACTACTTAACTACTTGTTAGGGGATGATAGAGATAGAGAGAAATGAACAGCAAATAGATAATCACACTAATTTCTCTCCTTACCTCTCCTCTCTATATCTCTCTCATCTTCTAATGAGTGTTCATGAGCACCCATCATGTTTTGACTACTACTTAACTACTTCCTAGGCTTGAGGAGTGAAGTTTTTTTTAAGAAGTAGCACGCCACATAGGCATGACACCAGCAGTTAAAGAAGTATAAAAAGTAGTTTTTTTAGAGAAACAAACATATTTTTTTTCTCGAAAAGCAAAAGTAGCTACTCCAACTACTTCATAGCTACTTCTTTCCAAACAAACAAGCAACGATGGCGATTCAGATATAATCATATATGTTATGTGTGAAGAGGTGGGGTTTAGGGGTGCTGGGTGGATTTCAAATTTTAAATTCTATTTAGTAGTTGTCATCGGTAGTGTTTTCTTTTTAATTCGCATTAAATTTGTGGTCAGTGAGATTTGAATCTAGTTTGTTTTTCTATCATGTTAAATAAAAAAATATCAAGCTTATAACGAAGGCCGATAAAGATAATTTCATGCTAAATCATCGTGAGAAGTGAGCGATGTAATTTTATATTGTTGAACAATAAGTTAATTACTAGGGCGCGTAAGTGAGCGCATCAAAGTATCTTCATTGCGTTAAATAAAAAAATATCCATTTGTCTCAACACATGTTGTACAATATTGTTTATGCATCTGCGTATTGATAACATGATCACGTACGCATTGATAACATGATCATCTGACCTAATTAACCCAATTAGCAAAATCCTAAATGAGTAGATCAAAGCTTAAAAAAACTGAGATCATATTAAAACGGATACTGAATACTCAGATAATGAGTAGATCAAAACTCAAAACTGAGATCCTAAATGAGTAGTTTCAACTTTTTTGTTGGTGTGTAGGGTGGATTACAAATTCTAGGATGAAAAAATGGGTTTTTTTTTTTTTTTTTGAGTTTATGGATTCCATAACCTTTGTTTGATTCAAAATAAATTTTGGGATATTGAATACCCAGATAATAAAAAACTAATATATTATAGCATTTGTAAAATCCCCTCTTTGAGAGAAAAATTTAGGCTAGATTTCAAATTCTAAAATATGTAGCTGGAGCACAGGAGCCTAATATGTTAGGCGTTTCCAATGTCGTAATAACACGACTTACAACTGGATTCCATAGCATGAAATATATTATTGAGATGCAATTTGTAAAATCTTCAATCTGGTATGTTAAACGTGATACCCATGCGTTATGCATACACTTCCCATGAACAAAACAACGTGTTTTTCATGACCTGTGCACTTCATGGAATGTAAAGATAATATCCAAATTTACAAGGAGAAAATGGCCCGAAAATTAATTTTGGGATATCTAGTGAAAAATTCGCCAGAAATGCGAAAACAATAAAGAAAACAAGCATTATATTCATTGACGACGAAAAAAAAAAAATCACAGATGCCTGTTGTCTCAATATTGCATATGCCGAACCTGACGCCCTTATTTTCTTTTTCTTTTTTCTTCTTTTTTTTAAAAAAATGTAAACGGAGCTTAAAACCCTAGCTAGGGTTTGCCATTATCTGTTCAAGACCTCCTTGGATTAATGCAGCTGCTGAGCTCCGAGTTCTCCGTAAACATTCAATAGAAGTTGCTGAAGCCATCTACAGGTTAAAGGGTCTTCCTGCGTTATATATTAAATTAAAGAATAAGTAAATAGTTTAAAATGCAATTATCAGTTATATTCATTGATTAATACATGCATTTAGCTACTAGCAGAAGAAAACGCGTATAGTCTCTACTACAACGATAGAAACATGTACCAGAAGAAGTTTAACCATTCAATAGAAAAAGCAAGCTAATTCTTAAAATTTAAAACATTCTCTAATCAGATAGTAACAAATTAATATGTAATTCATGATAAAACGTTAAAGTGAAAACTAAGATCTAAATTATTAACTAAAATAAAAGAAACATGTACTTGGATGCATGGTTTATCAAGATTAATATTTGCGGGGGTTAAATGAAGTAGATAAAACACTAACTTACACTAAATTATCAAGTACAGAATCATGGGAACAGATGCTACTATTTACAAGTTATGAGGGCGTGTACGTAAAATTATGGTAGCCCCCATCACCGAGATAGACGGTAGATTATTGCAAGAGATTATGCGCTTAAAGTATACTTCATGAAAAAAGAGATCCATGAACTCACACGGAGACAGCGGTCAAAAGTTCTATCCGTCAACAACTTTGGAAGATGATCCTGCAGAGCTTCACATGCCCTGTGTATTTAAGAAGAAAACATCAAGTTAAATTGAAGAAGAATATCCGGAAGATACATTTATATGAGAAAAAAAGAGGTAATTTTAACTTATTAACCTTGGATTATCAGATAACCTCAAACAACAGCGAATTATATATTTTAGAAGCCTCATAGAGGGTTGTTCAGAAAGCGATTCGATCATTGTCGATAATACTTGAATTACCGCGAAGAAACGCTCTGCTGTAGCACAAATATAACGGAGCCCAATATCATCCAGTAAAACATTTTGAACGATGAAAGTCGCCACCTGTACAATTATACCAAAGATATCCATCATTTTATTCTTAGTTCTAATGCTATGATTCTAAATTAAGTAACAACTCACATGCCTTTGAAGATACAACTAAACAAATCACAAGAAAATGGAAACATTGAACAACAGTATAAACACTTGTGGAATTTGTATCTTAACTCATTAATAATAAAACTATATCTATCCGCCTAGAAGATAGAATACCATTGAACTAACTATGCTTCCATTAGAAATAAAAGAAGTGATTCATTTATAAGTGAAACAAGAAAGTTCCCATTTTTTGCATGTAGCCAAGCTTCATTTAAATGGGAAAATAGGACATAAGAAACTGGGAGTCTATAAGTGAAAATATGGAGTGTTTCAGCAATCACACGACGTAGAAATGACCTTTCAAATCAGGTGGAGTGTCCAACCAACCGCTTTTACCACAACCAAAAGTCACAGAAGCCTTTTTATTTGCGGAAGCTAGTTAGCTTCAGTAAGTAGAAAATCTAGCAGAACTTAAAGAATGCAAATTAACAGCGAGGGGGAGTGGAGCAAACTAAAATAACAAAGGAAATCAGAAGGGCTTTTCACATACTGTTTTTGATAATGCACTACCGTTTTCCATAGTGCGCAGACAGAGAGGTATAATTTCTGTTTGGAGAAGGAAACCAATAACCTCAGTATCACCAACCTGCAAGATGAACAGTTCAGTAGGTGTTTGCAAACCTAAGGTGGTACAGTGAAATCAAAATCAAAATGACAGAATAAATCAATACAATTCTATAGCTAAGCTAAATGTAAATTAGATTCAAGACATCAATTGTTGTGTGCTAGGACCTTCCTAGATTTCGGCAGTGATATGCTCAGAGGTAAAGAAAAAGGAATAAGAAATCATGTCATCATATGAAACAACAGTTTCAAGCTGATTTCAAACTGGGAATAAATACAACAATCTGTCTAAATATATCGACTTTGAGTTTTGAAAACAGATTTGAATAGACTTCAAATGGAAATAAAAATATAACATGATTAAAACCTCTTACTTTAGGTATTATTACACAGAATTGTAGCATTTAGAAGGATAAGTTGATTCAGGAAAGCATTTAGAAGGATAAGTTGATTCAGGAATCTTTTCCTTTTCAAATTAGCTTCTCACCTTTGGTTTGCAATTTTTAAACCTTTCTATTAATTGTGCTAACCCCAACTCATTCAGAAACAGAGATCCGGATTCTCAAGGTCGATCGGGACTAGACTAGTGCACAACCAGCCCATGTTGGTGGAGGGCTGTGGAAACATGGTGGAACTTTAGGGCGTCTAGCCCACATTGACTAAATTGGGGGTTTATAAGTGATTTGAGCTCCCTCTTTCTAACAGCTAGCTTTGGGCTGAGTACTTGTAGGTCTCTTATGATATCCAAACCCTAGATTTCTGACGAACAAGTAAGGTGGCTCACCTGTTAACCTGGAGCATGAATTACATTTTTCTTGCAAAAGAAGTTGGTCCCCTTTAAGAGAATAGGACTACACACTCAATTCTCAGGGGGTTGTGTGTTTTTGTGTGTGTGTTGGGTGGTGATGGTGGTTGGAGAAGGAGACATTTTACTTGAATAATTTTTGTCACCTTGACAAGACTACTAGGTTAATTGACAACATTCTATCGCAAAACATCTCGGAATTTTCATTTGCAATTATGGATTTCTGTCAAGGGGGGTAACAGTTTATTGCAAGGGACGCATATAACCCATGCTTTGGGGCAATACTGATACATATCCCATATTTTTTAATTTTAACGCGATGATCCAATCCAGCCAAAACTGGCTGATACAGCCAACAATGGCTAATGACAACTAATGCATTATGGTACTGGTGAATGACGATGAATCGACGAAATGTATGAGGTTTGAATTACAAAAGAGTTGACTGAATAGTGTAATTAGGGTGAAACGAATAGAGAACTTGTAACTGAACTGAGTTATACCAAAAATTTTACTAAACCTGCTACAGTTCCTGATAAAGGACAAATTTTCAAAGTAGACCCTATTAGGAATTTACTTTTAGAAAACGACCCCTTTGAGATTTAATTGCCATTTTTCGACCTAGTTTCAGCCACCTAGCTGAAACCGGGTCGAAAATGGCAATTAAAGTTTGAAAACTTCACGGTATTTAAAATCCCGTGAAGATTAGTATCTGATCAGCGGCGCTAAAATCGTGTGAAGTTTGGGTGGCTTTTTCATTAGCGTCGCTAAACAGACACTAAACTTCACGGGATTTTAAATTCCATAGAGTTTTCAAACTTTAATTGTCATTTTTGACCCAGTTTCAGCCAGGTGACTGAAACTAGGTCGAAAATGGCAATTAAATTTCAAAGGGGTTGTTTTTTAAAAATAAATTCCTAATAGGGTCTATTCTGAAAATTTGTCCCCTGATAAAACACATCAACAGTCCTTGATATACATACCAATAAAGGCAGCCCTTGGATGACAGGGAAGTTTGCATCCTAGAAGGGAATGAACCTTGGAATCCAGCTAAATGGATGCAATACAAGCTTGGGAAGTTACCTAGGATTTGTGGATGTTTTAGAAAGCCAACAGAAACAAGCCGAATTACAATCCCGCAGGTCAATATGAATTGTGCCGACACACTAACTGGAAACATCCTGTTATCTGAGTGAAGCAACAGAAGTTCAAATTTACAAGCTTTTTGACATCATTGGGGGAGAGAGAATGATGATGTAGACTTCAGTTACATGATATAGAAACATAGTTTATTTGCACTAGTATGTCTCAGATAATTTTTCGATGATGAAGTATCTTCACAAGGCCCTCATAATTTATTGATACCAGTGTGGGAGAAAGAATGATGGTATAGATTTCAGTTGCATGACGTAGAGAAATAGTTTTATATGCACTAGTAGGTGTCAAATAGTTTGCAAATGATGAAGTACCTTTACAAGAGCCCCTATAACTCCCAAGCTGGTAAGCCTCAAATATTCAAATGGTTTTGTCTTACTAGTAGCATTCAGAAATGGATACAGGTACAATGGCATATGTGCTGCAAAAGAGAACCACAACCAATAGAAAATAATAAATATACTGCCAAATATTTAGTACGTTTAGAAGACTTTATTCATCTTTCAAATAACTGACTGTTTAAAGATTCAAATCATTATATAATATTTAATAACATTTATATGCTTAGAAATGATTATTGCTTATGGTTATTATTGCTTATGATGAAATTGTCGAAGATGGTGACAGTCTATTTGCAGAGGCGCAGGGCTATGCTTACCAGTGTTAGGATTTGTATTAAAAAAGGTTATCTTTTCATCCAACTTGAAACTGATTCTTAAGATGCTTTTTGAGGCCTTGAATGATACTATTTTCTGCCCTTGGAGAATTATCTCTACTGTAAGAACCATTAAACATCTTCTTAGGCAATGCGGTGCTATTTACAGCTATTGTTACAGAAAATCTACTCAATTCACCGACGCTATCTTGAAATGATTTTAGAATGCATGGAATCAATGACCTACCCACTATAATAAAAGGTGGTGTGCTCTTATTAATCAATCTTTGTACGGGGAGAATTTCCCCTATTTAATTCTAACCTTTTTTTGAAGGGAATAGTCCCCCTGGAAAGTTTTTTTCTAATTAATAAAAACTTCAAGTCTGCCCAGGGACCTGCGCAATGTTCCAGCAAAAAAAATGCTTAGAATGATATTATATAGTTGACAAAATCACTACTTATACTTCATCTGCATACAACAGGACCCCTGAAAGAGAGGAACAGAAAAGAGTATATCTTAGTAATCCCTCGTACGTAAACAAACAAACACGCGAACACCAAATAAACAAACAATGAAGCGGAAGACAGAGAGCAAAAACAGGCAAAGGAAACATAATTATATGATAAATAATTTTCTGGAACAAGTTCTTATGTATCCAGTCGATTCAATTGCTTTTATTAATGAGAACTAAGCATGAGACAAATTTAATCAGACATCAGCACATGGAGAAAAATTGAAGCAAAAATTACCATTGAGGAACAGAATCCTTGTGTCTGGGTGTGAAGCTACACACTTTTGTCGAGAGGAAAAAAGAAGAAACAGAATGTCAGTGAGTTCGTATCAGACTATGAATAGGGTGATAGTGCACGGAGAAATTCAGAAGAGTAATTTTAAATGAATAAAAAGATTCAGCATCTACCTAAGGCGAGGGAAAAGCAACAGCTTAGACAAGCAGCAAACCTGATGATCCTTAGAGAACCAAATTTAACAGTGAAGAGAAAGTGCATATCGATATGATCTAAGTTTCAAAATTGAAGCTAAGTATTAAAAGGGCACATCACATATCAGAAATTTATATTGCAAATACCAAATTATCATGAATCCTTGTACACTTGTACAAGATCCAGTATAATCACATCTTTTTTCTAAAAAAAATCATCCATAGTTGAAATTGCTATGCACCTTCTTAAAGTCATCATCAGGTTCTCGAAACAGTTATCTGGTCTCAGTTTTCAGCCCAAACTATACTGCCAAAGATTCGTTATTAAAGTTTGAGACAACCATAGGTTGAAGAGCAAAGAGAATAACCCAGAAAATTCAGGGACAGAAAGACCTAACACAATGATATAAAGGTATGCCCATGATCAAGAACTGGAAGAGGAACAGGAGCTTATAACATGGTTAAGGTGGAAATATTCACGTTGAAGTTATGTAGAAACCTAAGAAAAGTAGTGAGTTTAACATTTGCACCACTCTTCTCATCACAGGTGAATCTAAAAGTTGTCTCCTGGCTCCTATAGTCAGTGATGAGTGGTATGGTTAGGAGTAGATCCGGGTTTAAGTATAGGGTTGGTTTTAGCGTAAGTAGTTATGGTTAGGTCCTGTCAGCATCAAGATTTCGGGTCACAGATAAACTGCTGAGTTTGGATTAAGGGGTTAGGTCTATGGGTAGGCTTTAGGTTAAAATTAGGTAATGGTTTATGGTTGATTCAGACTAGGGTTTGGTTGATAATCGTTAGTCGTTTAAACTCTACAATAAAACCTAACAAATTTACTCCTTCACTCACATGAGTACGTTAACAAAAAATTATGAAATAAGGTCAAAAAGAAGAAGACGCAAAATGAAATAAATCAGAAAATGCCGACAAATTAGTCTTGACAAAATGCAAGCAGTAACTGGAAATTGCAGAGCTAATCTGGAAAGGAAACTTTTGCTATGCAATCACCAATTAGCAAGTCAGATAATCAGCAGAACATTTCAACATGTTGACAAGTTTGAAATACAGGAAAAGTAGGTTATGGATAAAGCAATCGCCTACTGATATAAACGGAAGCAGAGAATCTTTCTTATAGAAAGGTGCATAGTAAAGAAAACAGAAAGCAATTCAAGTGACTGCCTCACCTGAAGAAGAGCAAGCACATTGCAAACTCGGTTGGATTGACTTGGAGAAAGATTTGGTGGTGAAAGAAAAGGGTATATGGAAACTATCTCCTGAAAGTATAGACGCATTAAAGCAGATCTTTTTAAAAATCTTCAGCTACATCATCACTATAGCAATTATTAAATTTAACTATATTGTTGTAAAGTAAAAATATTTCAAAAGAGTCAAGAGATACATCCTTTCCTTCATAGTACCGCATTTTGCTAAGACCCAAATTGCATTAATATAATTTAAATAACAGCAATGGAAGTGTACAGACAGCTGATTTCAAACAGTCTCTTTTCCCTTTGCACCCCCATGACATTTTTTGTTGGCAGATTTTCAACTAAATTAAGTTGATAAAACAGCAGGTCAAGTTAAGGATCTCATTAATAAGCTCTAAAATATAATGTAGCATATTCCCATCAAACAATATATTGTCCTTAGTTTTTATAATGTACCAAACTTAGACGGGACTACATACACACCTGTAGGAGTGCAGCGATGGTTCCACAGGAGTGCCACAATAGTGGAGCTAAATCTTGAAATATCACCCTTTTCTGCATGGAGGAAGATTCACCAGTAAGCATGTACTATTTCTTTCATGGCAGAGCTTTGTTTCTGAATAATATATCGAAGACATTTGGTTCTTAACTTCAAATTTCCCCTTTTAAACACCAAAGATAACATAACCATCTCAAAAAGTAACATAAACAAAGTTTGTACCGCATAGATTCCTTTCTGTTCTTGGCAATCAAGCTTCCCCAGTAATCAAGATAAAAATAATAAGAGAAAGATAAAAAGGCCAAACAGTTAATCAGGCTCTACTCGCAGGCTCTTCACTATAAAAGTACCATGATATACAATTCGGCAACATGGGAAAAAGAATCATAATATTTAAAGAGCTGCATGAACAAAAAATGCATGATACAAATGAATTGGCTCTTGTGCACATACAAAAATACCATGAACGCCTATTTCTGTACACAATGAGAGAATTCAACTCCTGAGGATTACATGGCACAAAACAATGACCTAAAAATAGAGCCCATCAAACTATTTAATTGCATATATCAACTTCATGCATATATATATATCTGTTATTATAAAAGCTACTCGCTATTTCTCTCTGTTTTTTTCCAGATGTGGACATAATTTTAACTCCTCAAAGAAAAAACATATCCAAATTGTGTGGAACAATCAATGCAGCAAATAAATGAATAAACTAGATTCACAAAACATCTGGGCTCACTTTAAACCATCTCTAAGAAAACTTAACCATGTTAGGAACCCAATTTAACTAGGATGTGGTGCTGGCAATATCAACATACCTGAACCTGGCAAATATCAACATACTAGCTGATATGGACTGATACGCAGAGGATATACAAGTGAAGGTCTTAAATGCACAAGTGAAGGTCTTTAATGCAAGTCCTCAGAAGATTGGAGGAGCTATTAGCAAGTATTAGTGCCAGCTCAACTGTTTTCTAACTATTTCTTGAATTCTGTTTTTTCTGTTATGTTTGTGCACGTGCACAAACACTGTCAGTTTCTTTCTTGGCTTTTGAGGAGAGAAATGTATGTAGTATAAAAGGAGAAGTTGTAAGATTGGATATTGAGGGAAAAAATAAGAATTCTGTTCTCTTCCTCAAATTCACTCCTGACAATTTCCTCTTTAATTCTTTCTTCCTATTCTTCTTCTTCTATTTCCCTAAAATTTCTCCTCGTGTATACTGTGTGAGCTTGTTACAGGCTTTTCATGCCCAAGAACACAAGCAGAAGAATCAACCGAGGCACTCGAGCCTCACAATTGGTATCAGAGCAGCTGGAATCTGAGGCTAGAGCTGAAGAGGGCATGGCGGGCCTGGAGATGACTTCTGCTGATGAAGCGGCTTAAGCTGGGAGAATCACTTGAGTCGAGGATGCGATCAGTCAACAACGCTCACTTCACCAACAGACATCGACCAAGGTGGAGGAGAATTCTGCAAAATTAGATGACCTTGCTTCTCAGATAAAAGTTCTGGTTTAAGAATTCAAGAATTTCAAGGATTCTAACTAAGGAATCTTGGGATCTGGGCTAAGAAATGACCGAGGAGTCTTGAATTCAGGATCAAGGGAAGATAGGGAAATTCTAAGATCAAGAGCTAGAGATTCTAGCAGAAGGGGTTATGATCATGAGACCAGCTTCCAGAGTCGAAGAGATGTAGATTGCAATAGAGAGCTCCTACCTGTACCCAGTTTTGATAATTTCTCAACACAAAAGAATTCTTTCTTTAGCAATCAGAAGCTTGTCCAGCCCAAATCTTTGCGTTTAGACTTTCCTTCCTTCTCTGGTAATGAAAATGTGATAGCATGGTTAGATCAAACTGAGCAGATTTTTGATTACTATAATATCAAGAATGATGAGTAGGTCAAGGTTTGTTCTTTTTACTTGAGAGATGAAGCCCTACAATGGTATAGGTGGCTTGTTAGAAACATTGAAGACTATGATTATTGGGATGTTTTCAGAGAAGAGCTGATTACTAGATTTGGACCTAGTGAATTGGCAAGGCCTTTTGATGCTTTCTCTACTATGAAACAAACCAGTACAGTTAGGGAATATCTTGGAAAATTTGAACAAGCATTAGGACTATTAGATGATCAGCCCTCTAGAAGACACATTCTTGAAAGATTAATTGGAGGGCTTAGAGATGAATTGAAATATGAGGTGGTGTTTGTTGGAAAATCGTAGTAAAAAGACAATGAAAGAAAAATTGACTTGTATTCCTCTCAAAATCAATTACAATTTGGATTCCGATGAGAATCATCTATCCTCAAGCTCCCAAGAGGATCGCTAAGCTCCCGAAGAGAAGATACACCCGTATCAGTATTCCTCTCAAAATCAATTACAATTTGGATTCCGACTACAAAAGAGAGGAGAATTGATCTGAATCCTCCCCTTTGTTTAAATCTGGATTCTTCACGGTAGCGATGAGATGCCTCCCTCGAATGCTCGCGTCGAGTTTGCTTCTCGTTGACGATCCGACGTCTTGATTCACTGGAACGTGGTCTTTTCCCCACGATTTGACATTGTGGAGAACTCTGAACGAGTTTAAAACTCTATGATAGAGTTGATTTAACCGAAAGTCGGTTATAAGCCAAGGATGAAGGATTCTTTTTTTCGCTGCCAAGAAGTTTCCACCGACCGACCCCAAATATTCAGCCTCAAAGATTCAGAATGCTCGCGTCGAGTTTGCTTCTCGTTGACGATCCGACGTCTTGATTCACTGGAACGTGGTCTTCTCCCCACGATTTGACATTATGGAGAACTCTGAACGAGTTTAAAACTCTATGAAAGAGTTGATTTAACCGAAAGTCGGTTATAAGCCAAGGATGAAGGATTCTTTTTTTCGCTGCCAAGAAGTTTCCACCGACCGACCCCAAATATTCAGCCTCAAAGATTCAGGATCCCCCTTAACTGAATTGATTTTCAGTTATTTATAGGGGATTAAGGGGTGTAACCACCTCCTTAATTCGCTCCTAAGTGGGGCTAATGGGATGTAACCGCCCCTTAAATCACTCCTGAGTTAGAAACTGCATGGATCGTGTTTGAACATGTCAGAACTTTGACTTGCGTTCTGGCCTAGATTCTGCGCTTGAACGCAGCATCTGGAAGTGCGTTCTGCAGCGATGTAGAGCTGCGTTGTGCAGCGATGTAGAGCTGCGTTATGCAGCGATGTAGAGCTGCGTTCTTCGATGTTTAAAAGTGCGTTTCGCAGTGTTGTGGAATTGCGTCTGGCGGTGATTGCAGCTGCGTCTAGTGGTGGTACAGAGCTGCGTTGGGCAGCGATTGGAGCTACGTCTGGCAGCGGTATTGGGCTTTCGGAGGCTGCGTTTGAGCTGCGTTCGTGGCTATGAACGCATCGCATCTTGATGCTGGTGTGCGGGGAGGACTTCCGCAGCTTGATTTGAAGAGACCGTCGATTTGTAGTCTCTTTCTGTCAAAGCGTTGCAAAGATCATCGTTTTGTAATCTTTGCTTTAGCTCTTTGATATGTGAGAGTCGTCAGATTGTAACTCTCGATGTTGATTGTGAAGGCTGTTGATTAGAGCTTTCATCAGTTGTTGCGAAGGTCGTCAGATTGTAACCTTCATCGATCCACGTGAAAGTCTTCAAATTGTAGCATTCTGGAAGTCGTCAGATTGTAACTTCCATCATTGGTGTTTGATGGGGATCAGCTATCTATTGTGATTTTTAGACAGCCTACAGGTGGCAGCTGCAAGGCCTACTTCATTAAAAGGGACAGTCTCACTGGCAAAATTGTTTGAAGATAAGCAAAGAAATGAGAGGAAACCTAGGGGAAACTGGAACACATCCAATCTAGGGGGCCCTTCAGTTAACACTTCTAACAATTTCCCAGTCAAAGATAATTCCAGAGTTCCACCTCAGTTTAAGAAAATGACACCTGAGGAGATACAAAGAAGAAGAAGCCAAAATTTGTGTTTCACCTGTGAAGAAAAGTGGCATAGAGGGCATCAATGAAAAGGGAAACAATTATTCATATTAGAGGGAATGCTGGAAGGGGGTATGGAAGGAAGTGAAGATGATTGTGTTGAGGATGGTGAAGATTCCTTGGCAATTGAATTGGCTGAAAGTCTAGTTAAAGGGGCTCCTTCTATTTTTGTACAAGCATTAAGTGGAATCAATGCTTCACACACCATTAGAGTGGTAGGATATTACAAGAACTAAGTAGTGGGTATATTAATAGACTCTGGGTCAACACATAATTTCACTAATGCCAAACTGGTTAAGAAGTTGGGGTTAAATGTAACAGAGTCTCATGATTTCAATGACTTGGTTGCTTGTGGAGAACTAATTAAAGGAGCAGGAGTTTGTCAAGAAGTGTTGTTGGATTGCCAAGGGGTAAAGATACAAGTGAACCTGTTAGTCATGCCCATGGGAGGTAGTCAGATTGTGTTAGGGGCAGACTGGATGAAAACATTAGAAGATATCACTCTAAATTTCCAGAAATTGCATGTAACATTCATGAGTGAAGGAGTGAAAAGAACTCTATAAGGGGTAATTCCAGCGGAGTTGAAATTAGTTGATGAAAAGGCCATTGCTAAAACATTTAGAGAGCAGGAAGAAGGGTATTTAATTCAACTTTGTAGTGTGCAGTTCCAGGAATCAATTACAAGTAGTGTAACTGAAAATCTTCCAGCAGACATGCACAAATTGATACATGAGTTTCAGGTTATGTTTCAAGAGTTACCCAGTCTTCCTCCTCACAGGGATGTGGACCACAAAATTCCCTTGGAGGAAGGAGCTAAACCAGTCTGCATTAGGCCCTATAGGCATGCTCATTTCCTTAAAGAAGAAATTGAGAAACAAGTAGAAGAAATGTTACAAAAAGGAGTTATAAGGCCTAGTAACAATCCATTTTCTTCTCCAGTAGTAATGGTGAAAAAAAATGATGGTAGTTGGAGAATATGCAAAGACTACAGATCATTGAAAAGTCTATCGTTAAAGATAAATTTCTCATTCCTATCGCAGATGAATTGCTAGATGAATTACATGGGAC